AAACAGGGCTTGATCTCACGAGCCATGAAATCATGACCTGAGCAAAGATCAAGAGTCGGAGACTTAACTGACTGAGCCGCCCAGTCGCCCCTGGATAATTTCTTTTGCACATGGGAACACAGGACCATTTCTTTCAAACCAGTGGTTCACATTAGAATCATCTGGGGAGCTCTTAAAAATATCAATGCCGGGGCGCGTGGGTGGCTCAGTCGGTTAAGTGGCCGACTTCGGCTCAGGTCATGATCTCGCGGTCCGTGAGTTCGAGCCCCGCGTCGGGCTCTGTGCTGACAGCTCAGAGCCTGGAGCCTGTTTCAGGTTCTGTGTCTCCCTCTCTCTGACCCTCCCCTGTTCATGCTCTGTCTCTCCCTGTCTCAAAAATAAATAAAACGTTAAAAAATATATGTATATTTAAAAAAATATATCAATGCCTAGGCGCTACGGCAAGATTTACTTGGTCCGGTATCCATATGGTTTTAAAAGTGTTACAGGTACCTGTGGAAAATAATCAGCAGAGGGTGGTGATGGGAGACTGGCTGTTGGGTCCCATCCGGAGTAGCCCTGGGGAGTACCACTAAGCACAGAAGGCAAGGTTTCAGAGCCATTTTGGACGATTGCATTCATGACCTCACCCCCTCTGCAGGGCTGTGCAATAGCCAAGCAGCTGGGTGCAGAAATCTACCTGGAAGGCTCGGCTTTTACCTCAGAAAAGAGTATCCACAGCATCTTCCGGACAGCGTCCATGGTGTGTCTGAACAAGCCCAGCCCAGTGCCCCCCAAGAGCCCTGTCCGAAGCCTCTCCAAGCGACTGCTTCACCTCCCCAGTCGTTCCGAACTCATCTCTTCTACCTTCAAGAAGGAAAAGGCCAAAAGCTGTTCCATTATGTGAAGTGGGGGTTGGAGAGGGGAGGCAACCTCCCACTTCCTCCCTTGGGTTGCAGAGGCACGGGGAGAGGGAGGACGGGACAATTTAGGACACTGGACACGAGTTTTTCAGACAGCCACGGTGAGGGCTTGGAAGGAGACAGGAATGGGACTAGGAAAGAGCCAGGCCCGGCTTGAGGACCTGACACTGAGAAAGAACCATCACACCCCAAGCCAGGCACAAGGTTGTGGTGGGGGCGGCTGCCCCAGGGTCCCCCGCTCCAGAGGAAGGAAAGGTGTGGGGGTGTGGGGGGCATGCTGGCCTCATGAGCTTGGGGGCCTATAGGAGCCTCACCTTCAGCATCATGCCTCTTCCACAGCGCTTCCATGCGGGCCAGGGGATGGGAGGGGTCCCTGAGCCCTTCCCGTCCCCTCTGAGGAGGCCGCAGAGGAGTGGAGCGGGGAAGCCAAGAGGCAGCTCCCTTGGGAGCTGAGCCCAGGTGCTTCATAACTGAAATGAGAAGGGCAAGAGCTGGTCAGAGCCAATGAGAAGGAAACCTCATCTTTGCATAGCCCATGCCTCATGGAGAGGTGACATCATACATTCATATGCTTCTCACCTAAGTCCCCAGGGTCCAAGGGAGAAGCCCCAGACCCCCTTCTCTTGCAGTGTGGGGGTGGTGGTGCTGCAGGGGGCAGGGCTGGGTGGGGGTCACCAGACTTTTTCTGCCCTTAGGGCAGTACAGCTGGCATTTGTTTTATAGACTCTTGTCTTTGGAATTGGGGGGAGGGGGGAGTGTTTCAATCTGTTATATGTTCTGTGTTTAAAGAAGAAAACCTATTTATTAATGAAAAATATAACACATATAAAGAAGCTGGCTCCGTTTTCTTTGTTTCTTTCTCTGTTCCCCTTTGTTTGGTCTTTGATACTGAGGAAGGAGCTATCCTGCGGCCCTTTCTGTGGGTTGCAGAGTGACTGGCTCTGCTGTTCCCTGGCATTTCCAACAAGGATCTCCCTTACCCCCAAAGCACTACCTGACCCAAACCTTACCCAAGTCCACTAAGCTTATGAAGATCTCCTTAGCCCTAGGGCAGGGTTTCTCCACCTTGGAACTAATGACACTTTTTTTTTTTTTTAATGTTTATTTTGAGAGAGAGAGAGAGCAGGGAAGTGCAGAGAGAGGGAGAGAGAATTCCAACCTCCATACCATTAGTGCAGAGCCCGATGCAGGGCTCGAACCCACAAACTGTGAGTTCATGACCTGAGCTGAAACCAAGAGTCAGACGTTTAACTGACTGAGCCACCCAGGCACCCTAGAACTAATGACATTTAAATTTTTTTTTAACATTTATTCATTTTTGAGAGACAGGGCATGAGCGGGGGAGGGGAGAGAGAGAGAGAGAGAGAGAGAGAGAGAGAGAGAATTAAAACAGTCTCCAGGCTCTGAGCTGTCAGCACAGGGCCTGATGCAGGGCTCGAACCCCCGAATCGTGAGATCACGACCTGAGCTGAAGTCAGATGCTCAACTGACAGCCACCCAGGCGCCCTGGAACTAATGACATTTTAGACTAGATAATACTTTGATGCTGGGGCCTGTCTCATTCATCGAAGGATGTTTAGCAGCATCCCTGGCCTCTACCTGCTAGAAGGTAGAGGTAAGTGGCCCTTGAGGCAAAATCACTCCTGGTTGAGAATCATTGCCCTAGAAAGGCTAGAGAACAAAGACAAGGTTCGGTGAAATCATCAGTAGAGGATCCAAGCTGCTGAGATTCCAGCCCCTGCAGAAGGTGGGACAGACTGGAGCCCAGTTGAGGGGAGGTTCCTGGGGTTGTGGTCTCCTAGTTCAAGGAGAGGTAACGTCTTCTGCTTTCTTCACCTCCCGGTTCCATTTGCCTGTTGATGACAGCTCAGGAGCCTTAACATCCCTCTCAGACACGTTTTTCCAAGTTTCATAGTGTGCTGGAAATAAAAAAGTAACTATGTATTGAGCACTTACTATGTACTCAGGACTGTGCTGAGAGCTTACCTGCATTATCACATTTAACCTCATAAATGATAATAGCTAACATTTGTTAAATGTTTACTATGGGTCAGGGGCACTTATGAGATCTTTCTTTTTTTTTTTTTT